AAATTGTGCATAAGTTAACGAGTAATCTTCTAAGTGTTTTACCATTTTGGAATCGTTATTAAATGCGCCAACTTTTAAGGTTACTTGCCAAACTCTCGTAGTACATTTTTTCCAGTACAGCCAGTTAAAGTTGAGCAAAGTTTTACTTTGGAATACTTGGTTGGGAAATAAGTGGCAATTTTTCCTGAACGAGAAAAGTTGGCAGTAAGGTTGAGACACCAGTTTGAACATGCATTATTCATCATTATATTGTAAAAATAAAATCCAAAAAAAGTTAATATTGTAGTAACAGGAGTTGACAGACTGCCGTAGGTGTGAAATTTCTATATTTTTTCAAAGACCTATAATTTTCAAAACACATACATAAAATTTTTTTAAATATTTTTCTGATAGCTGTTATGACTTTGCCTATCACCCGGTTTCGGCTTGACGTCGACTTCTGGGACACCCTGTATAAAATCTTATATGAAGTATGATATATTTTAACGATGTTGTAAAAAAAAGCTGGTGTTGCTAAGCTAGAGAATTACCCTATGTTTAATTTATTCAAATCAAATCATTTCTTGCACTTTGTTCTAGAGGAATTCCAACTCAAGATTGAGGTCATAATTATTTTTTTCAACAAAAAATTACTGTCACTTTTCTGTCAGATTATTTGATTCAAAACAAACAATTTGTAAAAAGAAATCATTCATCAAACATAAAGGGCAAAGGTGTGAAACATGCCTCAACATTAAGTGAAAAAAGGTAAAAAACATAAAATTTTAAAACTAACCTTGGTTGCCTCTGTAACATATTAGCGTAATTTGGTAACTCCTAAACCTAATGTATTTAGAAATATCTACAATCTTTACTGACATCTTAGCTGTCCTGGAACCGTGGATCTTCCCTGTGTCTTTCTAACATTGTGCGACAAAAAGCAACTCGGGGCTCATAATCCCGGGACAGAAGAGCTTGAACACGCTGTACGTGGTATGGATGGAGCACCTTTTTTTTGCAAGATTCTATGGGCTGTACCTTTGGGCACACCTGTTTTTAGTTCTATTGCACGCACTGAAGTACTCGGGTCTTCTTTGACAGCTCCTAGCACCACGTCTTCGTAAGGAAGGAAAGATCTTCCCTCACCGTGTGATTGGTTTGGTAGCTGGCCCTCTGAGAACAGTAAGCGGTGCACATTTGTGAACACTCGATGATCTGGATGACGAGCTGCATTCGGGTACCTCTCACAGTAAAGTCTCGCTGCAGCACTAGCGTTGCATCTGCATTCCCCATAAATGAGGTGCATGTTAGCATATTCTTGTACGGTGTACACGGACATAGCGGCACTGCACAATCACACTATCAAAGATAGTCTAAGGAAAGCAAATGTTGTTTTGAAGAGCAATTAAACAGTCCAAATCCAAATCACAAGCGATCAACAGTCCAGTTTACGAATCCAAAATTAGTAACAGTACGAAATCAACAAGCACGAACATGTAAAGATGCGCAGTAAACGAAGGAGTACTGATCGGTATCAAAGTGTGTAAGTAAGTGATTTGCTTCATCCATACCACATACAGCGTGTTCAAGCTCTTCTGCCCCGGGATTATGAGCCCCGAGTTGCTTTTGTCGCACAATGTTAGAAAGACACAGGAAAGATCCACAGTTCTTTGAAAAAATTTTATGGTCGGATGAGACCACATTTAAGAAAGATGGGTACATGAACATGCATAACTTACACGAGTGGCACGTAGCAAACCCACATTTGATGAGAGAAGATAAATCTCAATATCGCTTCAAGATAAACCATTGGACAGGAATTTTAAATGGTAAAATAATCGGTCCGTTTGAGTTCCCAGAGACTTTGACTGCTAAAGTTTATTTGGATTTTTTGAAAAATCATGTACAAAATTTATTGGTGGACGTGTCACTGAGTATTTACAGGGACATGTGGTTTCAGCATGATGGCTGCCCAGCGCACTATGCACTCTCAGTGAGAGAGTATCTCGATCAAAACTTTCCAGGCAGATGGATAGGGCGGTCTGGTACAATACCGTGGCCAGCCCGATCACCTGATTTGAATTTACTGAGGAACTGTAAAAGAAAAAGTGTATTTCAAGCGGATTCAAAATGTAGCTGAGCTACGGCAAAGACTATTGGAAGCAGCTGAGTTTGTTAATAACCGTGGATTCGCTCGTTTAATAACCCGATCTTTTTTAAGAAGATGTCGAGCGTGTATTGCGGCTGAAGGAAAACAGTTTGAGCATTTGCTGTAAAGGTAAATCATCATCAGCAGCATTTTGACGCCCACTGTTGTGCAAACAGTTATCCTTAAGGGTCCTTGTGCGTTTTCATAATCGCTGTTTAATTAGGAAATTTTGAAAAATTTTCATCAGTTTTTTTTCAAATAAAAATTGTGCATAAGTTAACGAGTAATCTTCTAAGTGTTATACCATTTTGGAATCCTTATTAAATGCGCCAACTTTTAAGGTTAGTTGCCAAACTCTCGTAGTACATTTTTTCCAGTACAGCCAGTTAAAGTTGTGCAAAGTTTTACTTTGGAATACTTGGTTGGGAAATAAGTGGCAATTTTTCCTGAACGAGAAAAGTTGGCAGTAAGGTTGAGACACCAGTTTGAAGATGCATTATTCATCATTACATTGTAAAAATAAAATCCACAAAAAGTTAATATTTGTAGTAACAGGAGTTGACAGACTGCCGTAGGGTGTGAAATTTCTATATTTTTTTCAAAGACCTATAATTTTCAAAACACATACATACATTTTTTTAAATATTTTTCTGATAGCTGTTATGACTTTGCCTATCACCCGGTTTCGGCTTGACATCGACTTCTGGGACACCCTGTATATATATATAAATAAAATAAAGACATTGAAACTGCAATAGAGCTGTTAAATAATGATATGAAAAATGAAATAAATTGGTTAAATGTAAACAAACTCAAACTAAACACAAAAAAAAAACAAATATATGCTAATAGGAAAATCGTTAGATCAAAATATGATAAATCTTACATTTAATCATGAAAAAATTGTGTCAATCGAATCATTTAAATATTTGGGCATATACGTAGACAGTAAATTAAAATTTGGAGGGCACTATGAATATATTATTTCAAAAATATCCCAGAAAATGAGTTACTTTTATAGAATATCGTATGGCCTATTCTAAAAAAATTATGTACAACACATCATTCTTCCTCATTTGTTATATTGTTCAACTATTTTGTTCACTGTAAATGAAACTGTATTTTCAGAATTACAAATATTACAAAATAAAGCTACGAGAATCATCTTAAATAAAAATAATATACTGGAATAAATTTTATGCTGAAAGAACTACAATGGTTAAATATCAAAAAATTCATAGCCTACTTGGTTTTCATTTTCATGTTCAAGTTGAAAAATCATCTTCTACCAAATCACTTAGAAAATTTGATTGTATTGAACAATGAGTGCCACAATTATTCTACTAGAGGAAGTATAGACTTTCATTTACAAAACAGCAGTAGCAATAATTCTACGAATTTAATAAATTGAGTAATGATATCAAGATGTGTGTCAGTTTGAAAACGTTCAAAGGGAAATTGAAAACATATCTTATGGAAAACCAGAATTCATAGTAGGTAATGAAAACTATGTAGTTTTGAAGACTAATATATTTTGTGAAACAAACAAACAAAAATTGAAATATAACATATCTACTTTAGATAAAAGTTCTTGAGAATCTTTCTTGTTCAGAATGACTCAAAACTCTAAAACAACTTTGTCTGGAGTGCAAACGGTTAAAAAAAAATATCGATTTTTGATACAATTACGGCCTTGAAGGTGTCGGTCCTTTTTGAATGAGATTATTCAAAAAAAAAAAATTAATCAGAATATCTTCCCAGCAGATGCGAATATAGGAAGTATCTACTAAGCTACAACAAATGTACTCAACGTCCAGGCTGGCGAGGCAATACCAACAAAAGACGTGCTTGCACCTTTTGCACATCATCTGCGCGCAGCCCTCGTCTTTTTCGATAGGAACGTTGCACATGGGACAGCATTTGATGAGATCTGAATCAAACGGTATGCCGACGTCTTCGGGTTTGCCCTCCTGCAAATTTTTAAGTGAAAATTAACTGAATTATCTCGGATAAGGTATGTTTGGAAAAATCGGCAGTGACTGTTTTGGACGATAAATAGACGTCCACTTTTCTCGTCGTGGCCTACGATTCTGCTCTAGCCCGGAAAATAGATTGGAAAACATTTAAAACACATATATCCAATTTTCGCTTTTCGTCCCTTGTTCATTGGATAAATTTGGTAACTTAAGAGTGAATTGTGTAGTCTACCACCAACTCTGAGAATTCCATTATCATCTAGAAAAACACCAAGTTTCCTTAGCGGTTTAGAAGCGACCTTATTGGCCTTTAAACTATAAATATCTGAAGAAAAGTATTGACTTTGAGTGTGCTTGACCAAAGCGTACATTTCGTTCTTCAGACATGAAGCGATGAGCGGAGATAAAAATTTTGTTTTGGGATGCCTAGCGTTATAAATAAATCTTTGAATATATGCATAACGCTGCAAATCTGATCAAAAGCATATCCAATATGTTCGGATCTATGTTTGACATAAGAGCGGTTTTTCTTTGCTCATTGTCCACACAGTGTGGTATGTTTATTAGAGGACATGCGGTGGGCCAATCAATGGATGCGACAATAAAGCAGGGCCTGCCCACTACTGTCCATAGTTTTTAAAATCTAAGGGCTGTAAACCACAAGATGCGCAATCTGCGATATTATTTTTCGAAGCCACATGATACCACCGAACGTCAGGTAGCATTTCTTGAATGCTTGGTATCCTATTGGCTACAAATGGTTTTCATCTGTGTGGTGAGGAATTAGGCCAATATAAAACGATTGTAGAATCTGTAAACGGGAAAATATGTTTGAAGGAAATTTTATTACTATATGTGTCAATAACAAAGCGCAATAGTTGAAACAACAAAACTGCTTCTAGTAGTTCACATCGCGGTATAGAAACTTGAGTTCACCTTAGATTTCGCGCATAACAGAGAAGTCTGTATAGTTGAATGCGTAATAATTCTCATAAAAACTACGGCTGAATGAGCGTTTGAGCTGGCATCAGAAAACCCAACAATCTATGTAGTTATAATGTTTAGGTAAAACTAAGCGGGGTATACAGGGTGTTCCTTACTGATATGCAAATATTTAAGGGTGTGAATCTACATGAAAAATTATTGTTAGTTTGCTTTATAAACTATGGTCCAAAAATGTTTCCTTACACTCGGGGTTGAAGTTTTAGGAAAAAAATGGAAATTAGTTAATATTTTCAGAACCGCTTTAGATATTTCACTGATATTTAGTACGTAGTGAGAAAAGGTTCGACTATCTGGCAAAGCACGATCTGGATATCTCTGGTGATAAATCCGTCTGGCTTGCTCACCATTACCGTCGGCAAGGCCATATACGTAATGCATTTCCGCCATTTCTGCATTTGAATAATTCACTATTATTAACAAGATTGTAAAAACTAAATAATGAAAAAGACGTCACAGCAAACCGATTTGAATAACAGAGATTTGTCAGATGTCAAAAGCCTGTGACATATTCTAGAGCAACTAGATACTTATTGCTAAATTGCATTCTTCAATTATTACATCAATTTACTCGAACAATAGGACGGTTTTTATTTTTTACTCAAAAATGGCGCATCGAAGGAAAACAATTCAAGAGAGACCATTTGTTTTAAATTGAACGGGGAATTCAAAAATAATTTTTATTTGGCAAAAAACCATGGCGTACCATTTTTTTTTAAATATCGAAGTCAATACCCCTTACGCACGCCACTGTTGAAGCTAAAAATTATTTTTGCATTGAAAAATATGCAGCTTTATCAACTTTCACTACGTACTAAATATTAGTGGAATATCTGAAGCGGTTCTGCAAATATTAATTAATTTCCATGTTTTTCCTAAAACTTCAACACCCCGACTTTTTGTAAGGAAACATTTTTGGACCATAGTTTATAAAGCGAACTAACCTTAATTTTTCATGTAGATTTACAACCGTTAAATATTCGCATATCATTAAGGAACACCCTGTAGATATATCTGATAAACAACTATAGCACTAAAACGGAACGTACTGGTTTAAACGGTTAAACGGAACACCCTTGGATCTCACCCCCTTACCTCTTGGTGCAAGCGGGGTGCTTGGTACTATACGGTTTCTGCCAGGAGGGAACAACGGAAAGAAAGAGCCATGGCGTACAATACGCCTGCGATTTTATAGGGTTAGCAAATGCTCTAGAACCGACCTTGGTCGCTACGTCATGCCGTCTGCCACTGCGAATCTTCTTGACGTCGTGACGGGGCCGATGCGGTGCATTTGATTGAATCAAAAGTATTTCTATTCGATTCCTTATGGCGTAACCTATAAAATGAGTGCCCACACCCCTAGTGCATCTCATTCCAAAGCGCTAGATCAGACCCTGCAGGGCCTATAGCCAGTTCTAGCGTCTCCCCGACGACCGGCAGTGCATCAGCACCGTGCAGGTTGCAATTCCCGCACGATGACCATTCTAAAGTGCTTTTAAACCTGTACTACAACCAAACGGGACCTTAGTGTCTTTTTGCCCACTGTTAGGGACCTTACAGGGCTCACAACACCAAGAGGCTTGCGTGACAAGTCCCCCAAGGCATCTGAATGTGGAAGAAAGACTTCTCATTCGTTATAAGGGCACTACATGCCCATTTCAGCCTGTGTCTCAATACGCCACTTTGGCGTGTTGTTTTTCCCCTGCAAATCCCTGAACCTATTAGTCCTGCCTCATAACGCATACCTGACGTCCTGAATATCGTCTAGTGCTACCACAAGGCTTAAAAATTGATTAAATCATTTCATTCATTATAATAATTTCTAATACGGAAAAAGAAAAATATCAATTTCCGTCCATTTCTGTGTGTAACACATGGCAACAAAAAACGACTGTGGTATGTCATAAAAACATCAGGTTTGCTGGAGTATTCGAGACTCTTCATAGGATACAAAATAATATATAGAATGAGGCACTATCCCAATTTTAGAATATCGGAACTGTATTTAATGACTAATTTAACATCTTCCAGAAAACGTGAATACGAGGGGCGGTTAAAAGTACGCAAATGGATGATTGTGCTCTTCATGTTTTGTTAAGTGCTGGATAGTTTTTAATGCTAAATAAGGCGAGCAACTAATGCCAAAACTGACAGTGTTCAGAACATACTTCTCAAGTTGAGCGTCTGGTGAAAATATCCATAAGATTTACAAATAAATTGACTTAATGTTAGCGGTTATAGCGATTTGTGGCAATCTAGAATTCAGAAGAAGTTGACTAATATCCTTCTGGAGTTTAGGACCTGACATAAGTGTGCCATTTAGTGATAACTGATTAGAATCTAGAATCGAAAACAACTCTTAATTTTGTGGTAGTTGATTCCGGTTTAAACACGTAATGATGCGGCATGGAATAGTCGTTAAGCAAAGAAGAATGAATGTTATCAGATAAAGACATATAATTATTGTCTATCATGTATCATATAGAATTCGTATAAAGAAATGCGTTTTTCTGAAGAGCAAAATCTTCCTTGTGCTATTTGCCAGCTGTCATGGAAGATACATAGGTTCCTCGTAGCAACGGTTCAACATATCTCCCAGATGTTTCCCGAGAAGTTGTTTTTTCATAAATTTGTTGGCATTTTAATTCGTCAGCAGACAAATATGAGCGATGTGGAACCGATTCTGTTTTCCAGAAACGTTTTAAAGAATCATTAAGCGAGATCAGAGTAAAAAAAATTGGTTTTGCTTATACATTCCTCAGAGTCAAATTTGTCCCATGAAAACGTATCCAAATGATGTATTGACTGCTCGAGGTAAATTAGTCTGAGAGGAATGAGGAATTAAGGTGTCAAAAAAAAAGAATGCGTTGGAACAAATCTACATTCAAAATTAATTCTATAGATTGAGAAATGAAGAATTCCGGCTCACCCCATTCTAAGCCTTTGATACGAGACCATCCTCTCACATCAATCGTAACGGAAGGCATATTACCACCAATTTTATCCGAAACAATATCATCAAAATTTTAAGTAGGCTGCGATTTATTTAGAGGGGTAACAGTAACCGAAATTTGGCCTATATTATTATACATTTCCATACCTCCTAATCCGTAAATAGTAGCAGCGCTCATTTTTATCGGTAAACCAAGTTTTTCTGCGAATTAACAACACTCACTACCTGTATCTATGAGTACTCTACCGGTTTGCTTATTTCCCAAATATTAACTTTCAGCGTAGAATGAGCGAAATAATTTGTAGTTGGCTGGGGGATACAGCTGCGGATTCAGGGCGAGTGGTCAGCGTACATTGGGTATTTGAAATATGATTTTTCAAACTTGAAGATTGTGCGATTTCAACTACAGGCGATTAAGGATCATTAGAGGGTTGCGAAGCATTTGTGTATTGAATAACATGAAGCAGCGAGTGATGCTTGGCGTCACATATGCGACAAGTATGAACTGACCTACACATACTGTTAGAATGACAATTATTACTCAAACAGTTCAAATCGTAAGAAGCATATTGGTCAAAATGAAGTCCCATTCAGCTACGGGAGAACCAAGATTTTTCAATGCGGCAATATTTTCAGAATATGTTCTAGTAGTTTCTTGAGTTGAGCGGGATTTTCAGAATTCATGCGTCGCGTGAGATTGCTAAAAGCCGTTTATTAGTATATAAGCTACTAAATAATTGGACGAAGTTAAAGGATAGCACTGTAACATACCTTTAGCAGACCCATCAACAAATGATATCAAATGCGACAATTTTTCTATATTTTTTAATAGAGTTTATTTGCTATGAATTAAGGCATCAAAAACATCAATAAATGACATGGAGGATTTAATATCTGCTTTAAACCTCATCAGTTTTAGTTTAGGTAGTTTCACTCTGGGTGGAACATCGGATATTTCAGGCCGAGTGTCAGACCTCAACTCTTTAACCTCAAACAAATCATAATAAATGGATTTAATGGAATAATATTTGTTATCAAC